GGGTAAAAATTCAACGAAACTTTAAACCTACAAAATTTTATAAAATGTTTTAAAAATCATTTAGTCCTTATTATATTTTAGAAAAATATTTATGAACAAATATTATATAAATGTTTAGATAAGTAATGGATGCCATTTTGAAAAACTCATTATGGCGACCTGAAAATTTTTTTTTTTCACTTAGTCTATATTAATAGTATTTATTACCACTAATAACCCTAAAAAATACCACGCGAATAGGAATTATTTACGGTTATAAAGTGGTCTTAATATCGTAAAATTATGACTTACGAGTAACATTTACCATTAAGTAAAAATTCTGACGTTCAAATTACCGTTAAATTTTCCTTTAGGTGAAATACACTTATAAGTAATTTTCTTTTGTAAAAATTACGTCCCTCATAATACTTTAAATTGTTGAAACTAAAGGGTTATTAAAATAGGTAAAATAACAAATAACTTTAAAAAAAGTTTTACTTCAAAGTAAATTTTTAAGGTTAATTTAACGTTGTAGTAGGTACAATATTACTTAAGCAAATTAACCAGGCATGACGTAAATTTAACGTTATTTTAACCAGTTGTGCTACTTGTGTATTGACGTACTATTAATAAAATAGATTTATAACTGAAAAAAACCACCATTGTATTTTAATATTAAAACCGACGTTTTTAATTTATTTTGAAGCAAAAACAAGCAAAAACAAAGATGTATATGATTTTTACATCAAAATACTAGTGTTTAAAATCGTGGGAGGCTTGGAACGGTGGGTGTTTGCGAGATATTGTGTCGGTGTCGATATTTAGAGGTCGATTTACGTGGTGAAGAAGTTCAGGGATAATTAATCTATGGCGTTAAAAAATGTACTTTGAAAACGACTTTAAAACCTACCTGATAAAATCTAATATTTTATTTCACACTTGCAACAATAACCTTTGACCTTTTTTATTTTTTATTATTCATGACATAACTACTATAAGTAATCTTAAAAATCGATAAAATTGCTATAACAGGCGTGTCAAGACTTACTCTTATGAACGAAGTATATGTTCGTATTTTACTTTTTGCATATACTTCATTCCTAAGCGACTTACTGGTATCATGAAGAGTTTTGAATCTTGGGTTTTTTTTTATTTTTCTGATTTTCCATATACAGTGTATATTATACACTCATAGGCAAAATAATCGATCCACGCAAATTTCAATCGCAAATAACTTTTTTATTTGAATTTGGATTTAAAAAAATATTAAAGAATATTGTAGATACATTAATGGAGAATCGCTCACATTTTAAAAATTACTAAAAAATACACGTACGTTTATAATATACAGGTTTAAACAAAAAGAAGTTTTTTACCATAAGTTTAAGACACTCTGTAGAGTGGCAAAACCGTATATTGTTCTAAATTAAGTTTTATTTATCAAGTCACATCTATTTTTAACAGTTTTGTTTTTGGTTCACCTTGATATATTTATTTTTGTGGAAAATATTAATTTAAAAAAAAACATTGCAATTTCCAATATTTTTCCTGTATGAAGAACTAAGGTTGCTACACTGAAAAAAGTCAGTATTAATTTTTAAGTTGTAGGTGAATTTGAGGCCAACCTTTTATTATTTAAAACACTATCTATAAAAGTTAAGAACCGTAATTAATTTAATGAAACATTCAATATTATTATAATAAGTGTTTCCTAACATTTAACTCGTAGAGCATTTGGGTACATGAATTTAATGTAACCCTGCGTGTCTTTATTATTAAGACAATTTTCTTTAGGGTTTTTTAACTTTTATTTATATTAGAAGTACTTGTTTCTTTATTGTTATGAATTCAGGGATTTTATTAAATAATCAAGCTGTTATTGTTATAGGTTATATAGGGATAAAACTATAATGCACAATGAATTTATTTTAACGTTAGTATTCGTTGTTTACATTCCTTGCAAGCATCAGAAAGAAATCATAACCTATAACAACAAGTTGGTATTGCGTCATTGGTACGAGAGCCTCCATGCAGATACTTTGTACGTTTTGTCGGTTTCATAAAACAGTTTTTTGTGTTTATGGTAAAGAAAAAATGTCATGTAAGGAGCAACTGGAGGGTTTAGGTCTATTCTCAAATTCGAAGGTAAGTGTTTAGACCTCATGTAAATTAATTTGGGAAAGGTACATTTGTGATAGGTGACTCTTTTATATTATTTAGAAGAAGCCATTACGCTTGAAGTGCTGCTAGTCCACTACTCGCAAAGTGTTTTCCAACTTATTTCTAAATTAGGAGAGAGATTTGCAGTCATCAAAAAATTACAGAGTTACGAGATAAGCAGGAGCAATTAATGATCTTTTATCAGGTATAATTTTTGTTAACTGTTTTAAAGATGTGGTCAGAGTCGTTCGGCATTGGCCGTATGCGACAGTATTAAATTTCGGCCGATCAAGGTGCACTGACCACAGCCTAAGAGTATTTATTTAGTCCATTTTGTATTTTTATATTCTATAAAATAGGATATAATAAAATTGTTTAAAAATATTATATGCACATTTTATTTCTCATCAATCAAACAAAAAGTATGAAATTCAGGCTATACATTAGTATACATTAGTCAAAAAAATTCTATAGTGGAAATGCAAAACATTGCCAAATCAGCGGATTTTGAGATTTTGTTATTTATGTGGTCTGTACTTTTGTATCAATAAACATTTTTTTGTCTACTTAAAATTATTCAAGTGCTAACATAAATACAATTTTGATAAAACAAAAAAAAATATTACCCAAGTAAATGTCTGCAGATCAAAACAAAATCTCGCAATCCGATAATTTGGTACTTAGTTTTGCATTTTCACTTTAGTACATATAACCTAAAAATGCTGTTTGCTAGCAGGCTCCAACCATTAAATAATAAGACATTGTTTTAACAACAAATACATTTAATGTGTTTCAAAAATAAGCCTATTCTAGATGTTAAGGCAACTCGATGTTTACTTAAAGTAATGATGCAGTTAAAAATAACTCAACTAACTTTCAATATTTCAAATCCACCATGCATTTATATCAAATGCACGTTTCTTAGGCCATATCCGAACCCGTAACTACTTCACCACAAATGCATAGCGTTTATATTTAATGCTAAGTTTTTTCAGTGTATGGTCAATCCATAGCTATGGCATAGCCTATGGAGGAACAGTGACAGTTTTGTTGAATCATCCCATACTTGGTCATATACAGCTTTCAAAAGCTATCAATTTGTTTTTTGTAAATTAATGTGATATTTTAAGGTGTCTTCTTACTTTTAAAAATCTCCGACTTACTTACTAAATTAATGGCTCTGGCAACATCAGTCGGAGATATATCCATTTTTTAAAGTAAGAAGACACCTCAAAATTTAAACATTAATTTGCAAAACACAATTTAATAGCTTTTGAAAGCCGTGTATGACATGTCCAAGTATGGGATGATTTAACAAAACTGTCACTGTCATTCTCCATAGCCTATGGATGGACCATAGCAACCTTAGTTCTTCCTACAGAAAAATATTGGAAATTGCAATGTTTTTTTTTTAAATCCATATTCTCCACAAAAATAAATATATCGAGGTGAACCAAAAACAAAACTGTTAAGAATAGATGTGACTTGATAAATAAAACTTAATTTAGAACAATATACGGTTTTGCCAATCTACAGAGTGTCTTAAACTTATGGTAAAAAACATCTTTTTGTTTAAACCTGTATATTATAAACGTACGTGTATTTCTTAGAAATTTTTTAAAATGTGAGCGATTGTTCATTAATTTATCCACAATATTCTTTAATATTCGTTTAAATCCGACATCAAATAAAAAAGTTATTTGCGATTGAAATTCATCGAAAATTTGTGTGGATCGATTATTTTGCCTATGAGTGTATTTATGTAAACTTTATAAACCTATTAACAATACTTATAAGTTAACATGCTGATTATCTTGGAGACCCCAACAGGCAATAAGACAACGAAACTTACATCTTAAAAAAATGTTAATCTCATAATATATTGTTTACTTTTTTGAATGAACGCTTGGATACTTATAAGATTTGAACATAATGTCAGTTATGGTAGTGGGTGATGAATGGATAATTCGGCCTTTCTGCCTACGTTTAAGAATTTATAAATAGGTCATATAGAATCAACAGCGCAATTTTTTAATAGGTATTGAACTAAATATTTGTTATGTATGTCGTTTTGAAGAAATACTAAATACACACTTATTTATTACCATTAAAAGAATTAGGAACAATTTTTTTATTGCTTGTGGAAACTTTCTATTGTAACAAATGAATAGGTAATAAATTTATTGACACATAGAGTATGTAACTATTATACCTGACCGCAACATTTTAATTTGATGGTGATTTCATTCAAGCAAATTAAATTCTAAAATGCTAAAAATAGTATATTTTCCTTTAGTGACCTTTTAATTTACACATTGACAAGCTGCGACTTTATTATTTTTTTTAGTTACGGCCTGAAGTTAGCTTTAAGTGTGTTGGCAGTTGTCATATGTCATCTGTCAAATGAATTATATGATATTTACAAAAACGTATTAAAAAAATGACCTAAAACAGCAATTTATCTTTAAAAAATATTTAACAATTTATGTTATTTGATGTAAAGTTGTTTATAAATATATATATAAAAATTGTATGTCCAATAACTATGGACCATGTGTCCAATTACTATATAAAATGTCCAATTACTATAATTTTCTGCATGTTTTTATAAAACTGTTCAAATTCAAATATTCTTATTTTTAAGTATACGTAAATAAAGTTTAAACTAACAAATTATCCTTTTTATATATTTATAAGAAAAAAACTAAAATCTTTAAAAAACGTCGTATAAGTTTTAAATAAATAATATTCCTATCCAATAACTATAGTGGTTTACCCCACCTAAAATTTTTTTTTTATTTTGGCATCTCTTTTGCCTAATATTTGTCGTAAAATAAATATAGTATTTTACTTTATTCCAGGACAGAGATGAACAAAAACGACTTGAAATGAAGCATAGAAAAGAAGAAGATGATTTATATCGAAAATTCCAAAGGCAACGAGAAGAAGAAGACAGACGAATAAGGGATGAATTTAGGGTAAGTTACTGGCTAACCAGTTTTTAACCTTTGGTTTGTGACGATATTTGCTTTATAGAAGAGTTAACAGATTTAAAAAAAAAGACCCTCTTGGGGTAATTTGAAGACCCAAGTTAAAAGGTAATTCTTAGGATCATGCTGTATGTCTTTTAAGCATGTTGTTTAGAAGAAATATAGCATGATCCTAAGAATATAGAATATTCTCACTGGAAGGTTTAAAAAACATTCTTAGAATAAAGGGTGCTATCAGAGAAGAAGAAACATCAAGAGATTTTGTATTTGTTTTCAAGAGAACTATACTTCTCCCACTAAAGTATTGTTTCTTGCCGCTAATAATTTTTTATCAAGAGAGTTGACTGTGCATTTTTAGCCGATATAAATCTTGCTACAAAACAACAACAAAACTTTCTTGGTTTCCTTTTGCCAATACTTAATGGCTTTAAAAATCCATAATTTTCCCTGAAGCCCTGACGTTCGGACATTGCAGAAGCCGAGATAGAAAATTTATCTAAGAACAGTTTCCTTGCCAGCATTGTTTTCGTTACGATGGTACTGCTTTCTAAATCCAATCGGGTATTGTATTGTTATTCAAATGGCATCGAAACGCTTTTCCAACGCTAAATCGCGACATGGTCTATAAATCGGCGATGGCATTTCGCCGCAATTATCAAGTTCAAGGCCGTCGATAATTATCTGCAAGGCTACCTTGTGCTTATTAGATATCGGACATCATTCTTGGTGTTAAATATGCCGTGTCGAGATGATACATGTCTATTATTTAATTGATGGAGCATATCATTTTTTTAAATAAGTTCTACCTCACTAAAAAAATTTCCAGAATTTATTCAATTTTTTTAACCAACCAAATACCTTTTTTTTAAATTGAATTGTTTGTTATTTAATGTACTTTTGCTGATAGCCCTACCATTATAAATAAATAAAAAACAAAACAGAACATATCAAAAGCAGTTTGGATTAAGTTGGGTAGGTTACCGTTGGTTTAATTTTAGGCATGAAAAACACGATGACATTTTTTTAATTGACCAATGACATTATATTGGTAAATATTTAAACAAATCCAGAGTATTTACAAATATTATAATTATTTTTGAAAGAATATTACTAAAAACAATTCTCGTTTACATTAAAATCTATTAATGTTTTGGAGAGTATTTGAAAATTGGGTATATATTTATTACAAATAGGTAAATACAGGGTGTTATGTAATTAATGTTATATATTAAAATACTGAATACCTTTTGACATAAGGAATAAAGGAAAAATATTTAAAAAAACATTTTTCCAAAGGTAAAGAAAAAAATATGCATTAGAAGTTTTTTATATTTTTTGTGATACGCCACTGGTTACACACTTGTTTATCTCTGCACACCTGTATTTTGTGACATAGATACCAACCAACAAAGTAGCTATGCGTTGCCAGATGTAAAAAATTGTTACTAAAAATTTTTCTTGCAAAAAATAAATAAAAACTCAATAAATACAAAAGTTGTATGCCCTTAAAGCTCTAATACCCTTCTGTATTTATTTACTGATCCAGCTATTAGCTTAAGCAATGATTAGAAAATTTAGTACCTTTGAAATTTGAAATGCATACCCACAAAATTAATCCGTTGCATAAAATTTAAAGCAAAAACAGATTCACGGAGGATAGAATCAATTTGTGTAACACCTACATAAATGGTTATAACATTTTTTAATTTTTACTTTTTTTTACTTAATGAACTTATATTTTTAGTATGCTTTTACTACCTCAGATATTTGAAAACATATAGATTAACCTAGAAAGAGTAACAGTCACGGAGGATAGGTTTTAGACTTTTAAAACATTGTTAAAAACAATTAATTGCGGTTAAAAATCTGGAACCTGAGCTGTAATATCTACTTAATTATGAAAGATTAAAACACAATAAAAGTGTAGGTCACACTCATTTAGTTTTATTAAATATCAAGGGGTAACACCATCTACACTTCTACAGTCAAAACAATTAAAACATTTTGTATTTAAACTTTATAATTATAATAAAAAAATATTAAAAAAATAAAAAAATGTTAAAAAAAATAGAACTTGACTTTCAAAATCAAAAATTTAAAAAAACAACCTATATATATTATATTTAGTCAATTTTGAAAAAAATTAATTTAAACTTTTCTTTGGTTGGGTAAAAAAATTAGAAAAAATTCTAAGTGGGGTAGAAAATTATAAAAAAAATTGGCCAAATCGAAAGGGTTTTAAGTGGTGGATTTGGCGTATTATATATTATTAAAAAAAGCAATAATTTGTGGGGTATACACTATAGTGTATATATTGTACCTCATTTCTTTTGATCTACTTTTCATATGCTGTTAGCTTCGTAAATTGTTTAAACGTGCATGTAGTTTACTAGAATTATTGTTTTTAAAATGTAGCATTTCTTTTTGCCTTCAATACAAATATCTCACTTACTATGCATTTTACGAAAAAATGTTTAAAATAAAAATTAAATGATTCGAGGGGGGAAATCAAACAGTACTAATATAAAATTGGTCCTAATATTCTCCTCAACTTTAAAATTTCCAATGAAACACCCCATTTTTTTTATTGCAGATTCGGGTCATTCGACTAAAAATAGGTAGATTTTGTTAAAAACATTTTTTCATATTTGTAATAGATGAATCGAACAAAATTGATTTTTTTTATTACAGCGCTATCTATTACAAATATGAAAAAATGTTTTAGACAAAATCTACCTATAATATATTATAGCACGTTAAAAGAGAGCGTACATTAAAATAAATAATGACTTTTTAATTCATTAATTGGTTACCGTATTTGGTAAAATTGTATTAATTAATATATGTATATAGTAAAAATAATTTATTCTAAATATTCAATACCAAATTTCAGTATTTTTTTAATTATGGAATTCTAATGACTTTTACTTTTAATTGATATAAAAAAATGGAATTTCACTTTTGCTTTCATCTAACCACAAATTGTTCTTTTTTAATTTTATAACGAAGAAAAAATTACAACCGCAATATTTCCCGTATTAAAATTTTAAATGAAAGCCATTGTTTTTCTAGTATTTCCTATTTTAGTAGGGTATTAAGAAAAGTGATATTAGGGTCCACCTACCCTGATAGCACACTTTATTCTAAGAATGTTTTTTAAACATTCCAGTGAGAATATTCTTAGGATCATGCTATATTTCTTCTAAAGAACATGCTTAAAAGACATATAGCATGATCCTAAGAATATTCTTACTGGCCTATAGGCAGGTTCTTAGAAGGTGCAAAGTTTTAGTGGTAAAAATTAGTCTACTCTAAACATATGCTTAGAATTTTAAGAAAGTAATTGCTATAGAAAGTTCATTTAGGAATATTCCTGTTAAGCATATTTAGTTCAGTTAGGTACCTATATAATAGTAAAATATACCATAAACTACGTATAAAGCTATATACCTATACTTAAGTACCTAATTAGTAATTAGTATTAAATACTAAGTAAAAAACACAATCCAAAATATTTTTTTATAGTTAATTTTCAAATTAAAACAATATTCGATAACAAAAATACTTTTACTATAGGTATTTTATTTTATGTTAAAAATAAATGTTTATTAATTTGTATATCGATTTTTATTTCTGAATTAACATTTTTATGTATAATAATCTATCTTCAACTTCAATCTAATCTGACTTATCCCACAAAATTTTCCAATTTTACTTTTTATGAAATAATGTCATACAACTTATGGTTTATTACTCTATAGAGGTCAAATTGTTTATTTAATATTTTTAAATAAATATATATTAATATGTCGCAAAATTTAAGGGGACGACAAATACATTTCACTGTCATATTATGACAGTGAGGCGTATTTGTCTCCTGAAGAATTTTACGAATGTAGAATACAACATATTAGAACGTGGGTATCTGACATATTTGGAAATATTCTCAGAAGCTTCCTAGAAGCTCCATAAGAAACCTTCTAAAAACATTCCAAAAACGTATTCTTAAAATGTTCTTAGGATGCTTTTTAGGAAGGTTTTAAGAAGCTTTTAAGAATCTAATTGCATCATTAAAAGGGTATCTATTGAATGTTTTAAAAGTCCCTAAGAACATTCTTAGCAATAAGGGAAGGTTCTAAGAATATTCCATTATTCTTAAAATCAAATTTTGCTACCAGGGTAAACATTATTTGAAACCATAACCCATTTTTTTCATTTGGAAATCGCGTGATAACTTGTATAAGAAACAATTATTTTTAGGACGAATGGGAAAAAGAACTGGAAAGACTCACGAACAGGTTCGAAAGGGAGATGCAGATGAAGAGAAAAAGAGACGATCAAAATGTTTTGACGTTGAGGCATCAGCAAGAACGTGATGATCTTGAGAAAAATATGACGCTGAGAAGAGACAAGAAAAAGGAATCCCTTACCAGGAAAATGTTGGAACATGAAAGGTATTATTATACAGTTTTTTAAACCCTCGCCACGGTATAGAGTTGTATTCGTCAGTCGGGCGTTTCAATACTCTCCACAGTATAGAGGTCGTCATTTGACTTTTCAACTAGTATTAATATGAAAATTATTTTATGCTTAAAAAAACTATATACAACATGATTGTGATTTTTTTCATTTTATTAAATAATTAAGCAGTGTTGAATATTTTTCCTAAAGGAATAATTGCCAATGGGCCATTAATTCATTTGTTCGTAGATGCTACAATAACCTGCACTGGTGTGTACTTTTTGATCAACCAGATTTAAATATTGCTGTTCTAACAAATACCAGTGGAGATGTATCTACCAACAGACCTCATTACTAAATTATTAAAGTTTAATAGCATATCGATCATTTTTTCAACATAACCTCTGACATTTTTAATACAAATGTAGGTACTTTATATAATACATAAATATACTTTACATCATATCCTCTGTGCTTTACATACCTGAGTTGTTACGGTAAATAAAAATCAGACAAAGGAAACTATTTTCAACAAAATCATATGCAGAAATGAGAATATTCAAGCTACTTGCATCCATCAAAAGATCAAAACTTTTTGCAATATTGAATTACACCCTATTTTTATGCTCTCAGAAATATTAAGTAGAACAGTATTAGAGAGACTCCAGTTTCTATAACGTGGTAGAGTAAAGAGAAGTCGAAACCGTTGCGATATTGCATTGCGCTGTTTTTTTATAATTCTCGGGGACATTAACGAAAATCATTGCCAGTAAAATTCGAAAAGCTCGAGTTTCTATGTCTCTGAAGAGAATAGGAATCCGAAGTTGCTGCACCATTGGACTGAACCCTTTTCCAATAATTTCTAGAGACATAAACGACTGCGCCATTCGACAGGGTCGAGTTTCCACCTCTCTGTTGAATATAGAAAATAAAAATAATGTATCTTGTAACACCATTAAGTTTGACTATAAGTATAGTCATGCATACCCAGTCAGCATCCAATTAAGAAAGATTTCAGTATGAAGTCTTTTAAACAACTTCGTGTAGAAATTCTAACATGACGTCTTAAACAGTTCCTTTTTATGAGCTCAGAATTCTGAGCTGTTAATGAACTCATAAATAAGAAGTCAATTTTTTTACGTACAAATGAAGATCTTTTCTTTACCTCTTTTTGAACAATTTATTTTGAGCTTACAGAGTATTCTTTTTTCTTACTTCCAATTGAAATCATACTATTAACTCTTTTAGAAGTCAACATGGAGACGTCACATTTATGACATTTTAATGCGATTACTTTCTTCTCACCGCTGTAACTGCTTGTGTTTGATATAAGAAGCGGCGAAGTAGAATTTAGAGCGTGCTCCATACCAAACGGTCTTAGACCTAGGTAAACGGCTACCCGATACTGACGAGCAACAAAAGAGCTATCGGTGCCGGTGAAGAGCTCGCTTGAATTTAAACAAAAGTGAGACGAAGTAATCGCAATTCCTAAAATAAGCGAATACGAGCAAATTATTAAAATGATTTTAATAAAATCAATTTAACAAATTAATAAAATTAATAAAATAAACTTGACATGTCAAAATAAGCAACGATCCAGTATGCAATTTCTTCATCAGTACCCTTCTAAAGAAGTCTTTTTATAAGTTTATACAGTAGGACTCTTTAAAATGCTTAATTGCGAAGTCAAAGAAAAGGGTTCCTCAAGAGTTCTTTTTTGAGAAGTCTTGATTAGTTCAATAGGTGGCGCATTCGAAGTCTTAAGAACTTCTTAAAAAATTCTTTCTGATGTTGTATTTGACGTCCAAATCATAAAATAGAGCTTATGCAGACTTAATTAAGACGTCATATTGCTGTCTGGGTAGGTATAGAGGCGAAAATTATAAAAACAAAGCACGATTCAATACAGTTCTGATAAAACTAAGATTTGGTATTCAAACGGGGAGTCATCATATACAGTTCTGTGTAGCGAACTTTATGTAATGCAGGAATCAATGAACCTATTTATCGATCAAACTTTCCAAAGAGAAGTCGTAACATTGACCTTCCCTAGTAGCAATGGAATTGGACAAGATTCTTTGTCAAGATACTTGGAGAAGCACTTTGTAAAGAATTGGACAATTCTTGACCAAGACTCTTGATCAAAATTCTTTATCCAGCCTGGTGGCAGACTTGGACAAGTCTGTGACCAGAATTTGACCAGATTCTTGGCCAAGAATTTTTACACGATTCACGTTAAATAGGAACTTTCAATTCAAGATTTTTGGTCAATACAAAATTTTGTTGAACTTCAAAAGTTAATCTGGTAAACAATAGAATTAAAAACGAAACAAATTTTGAAAGAGTTAAAGTTTTTAATCTTCTATGTTAAAAAAAAACCAGGTGCCCGTAAAAATAAACATGTATTTTATAATATGTTCATAAAGAGTAAACTCTAGTTATGCGTCAGAGCTGACACACACTTTTTTTTTAAATTTTGATTTTTAGAAATAACAATTTTTATTTTTCAAAAAATCAATTTTTTTCTCAGCTAGAAGACGAATCCAATAAGCTCTTATTCGTGTTTTCACATAAACAAAAAAACTATACTTTACTCTGGTCAAATTCTTGTCAAATTCTGGCCAATAATCTTGGCCAAGAATCTGGAACAATTCTTGTACAATTCTTGAGCAAAAATCTGTCCAAAGTATCTTGACCCATGCTGGGCCAATACTTTTCTGGGAATTACTACTAGGGTGCATAGGTATAGGGGCGAAAAATATAAAAACAAACCACGATTCAATACAGTTCTGATAAAACTAAGATTTAGTATTCAAACGGGGAGTCATCCTATACAGTTTTATGAAATGCAGGAATCAATAAACCTATTTATCGATCAAACTTTCCAAAGAGAAGTCGTAACATTGACCTTGTTATGCAAATTGGCGATGTTCTTCTAGGGCTGCGACTGCCGCGCTGGTGGAAAAACAGAGCCACGAGATGTTGGAGCTGATCAACGAGAAGCGCAGCGAGTTCATGCAGGCCGAATCCCTGTACCTGGACCCCACCGACACGCACTTCGAAGAGGTGCAGCCGTACCCGAGTCTGGCCCCAGCGCCGGCCCCCCCCGCCCTGAGCAAGTTCCAGGTGTACAACGACCCCGTCGAGTTCACGAACGTCGATCAGATCGCGATCTCGGTGGCTCAGGAGGATCAGAAGTCGTTCACCGATCTGGTGAGGCAGCTGGTCGGGCGGTGCGGCTCCGACATTGAGAAGGCCAGGTGAGGTGTTTAGCTTTTGGAAAGGTTGCCTTTCGATTACGTTGTTTGTGGTTTCAGGACGATTTTCCGATGGATTACGGTGAAAAACCTGAACACGATGTCGTTCGACGATAATCTGCGAGGAGATACGCCTATGGGTCTCCTAAGAGGTATCAAGAACGGCACTGAGAGTTACCATGTATTATTTAAGAGATTGTGCAGGTAAGTGCCAACGTATATTGCTCATATCTCACCACTCACTGTGAATATATATAAAACAATAAGTTACCATATTGTAAATGACCAATAGAATCCAATAAAAAAGAAGTAATTGGTTTGAAATGTGTTTTGGCGCTATGAATCACCAATTCATTCCAGTTGAATTCCTATTGGTAATTTCCAATGAAGTCAGCAGCTTGAATTGGAAAATACCAATAGAATCCAATAAAAAATAAGTAATTGGTTTGAATTGGTTTGAAATGTGTTTTGGCGCTATGAATCACCAATTCATTCCAGTTGAATTCCTATTGGTAATTTCCAATGAAGTCAGCGGCTTGAATTGGAAAATACCAATCCATGCCTATGTTTGTCTCTATTGGCTAAATCCAATGGAAATGCACATGGAATGAATTGGTAATTCATAGCGCCAAACCCATTCCAACCAAATAAAACCAATTATTTTTTTAAAATTTGGATTAGAAAATACCTATAGTCGCGGCCAAATCTGTATGGGTGCACGTCATCAACGGCATATGACGTCAGCGTTAAGGTCTATTCATACGTGCCCAGACACAATCTAACGCTCGTGTATTGTTGACTGTTTATAGCGGTGGGGGCTGTTATTAAGATGGAATTATAACGTCCTTGTATAATCTTCTGCACTAACTAATTAGGAGTTTGTTACAGGCAAATTTTTATTAAATGTGTTTAAAGAGAAAACAAACGGAGTTTATTACATTTTTATTACATATGCACATAACAAAAAAATACTAAATTACCAGTCGTCCTTGTCATCAGAGCAAACCAGGTCAGAATTGAAGTCTGATTATTTCCCCAAATTTATTATTAAGAGCGCAATGTCTTCGAAATCTAATAACGGCTAGTTGCCAAAAGGCCTTATATCATTGTTTGCACAATCCAGGGATTGAATCTTATAAACATAATGTATAATATTATTATAATAATTTGCAACAAACGATGCTTACGGACGAAATGTCACAATTACAAAAATACGTCAAATATAAAATTACAGCGACCCATCAATAATATTGAACGGTGCGCGCCAGCCTTAAGCTATTACCAACTGGCACACACAAAAATTACTAAGTGAATGGTTTTATTTTGATAATTTTGTGAAAAAACGTTTTAAAACAAGGAAATTATTACAGTTCTTGGTAAACAATACGCAAATGAATGATTTCTTTTTAATAACATATCAGAATTACGCCTTAAAAAAGCAAATTTAACGGCAGTAACTTTACAATTCAAAGTTGGTAATGCTGACGTCATTATATCTCATTGATGACGTGCACCCATATAGATTTGGCCGTGACTATACCAGTTTATTTTTTATTCAAAAATAATTTTAGATCCCAGAAGGATAACCGGGTAAAAACCAGAATTCATTTTTCACAGAAGAGACAAAAAATTTATTGTTACTGAGTAATTTTATTTCTTTTTTTTTTTTTTGGTGATATATCTATGTGTTGATACATATAACTTACTATCACAAAAAAGTAATAAAAAACAAATAAAATTACTCGGTTATAATCATGTTTTTGTCTTTCTTGCAAAGGATGTTTGTAGGCATGGTCAAAGTCGATATTGTTTATGTCAAATTTTTTTATTTTGTCCGCTGTGACATTCTTACGCCATCGTCCCTAAACCTTACACATATAATAGCCCTTGTAGTGTAATATACTCGAAAATACGTTGTTTCGTCCCCGATTCCAATGCATCAAACGTAAATTTGACCAATGCATCAAACGTAAACTTTCTGCTGTGGAATCGGGGACGAAACAACGTATTTTCGGCCGAGGTAGTAAGAAAACATTTTTTTAATATATAAGTACACTACTAACACTAGGCACTTAACACTGAAATCGACTAATAAAAAAACCGCTAAGAATTGGCGTCCAAAGACTTGTTGTTGTTTTTTCTTTATGATGGCGTCTCAACCTCGTTGATTTTGCGCAGCTACACGAGAGCCCTCTTGCGATATTTGTATTGAATTGGGAATAACCAATTAGCAGATGTTTCGAATCTTACACTGGGAATGCCCTATTGAATTCAATTGGAAATTACCTATAGGTAGCTTTATCCAATCGAAACCAATAAAAACCAATAGAATCCTAATTGGACTTTTCCATCATGGAAAATACCAGTAAAAACCAATTTATGTTTTATATCGCGCCCAATTAAATTCAGTAAGTCCAATTCAGACCCATTGATACCAAACAACACTTCAATTGGTTTCTACAGGAATTAATCGGTCATTTACAACTTGGGTATACTATACTGATAAATCGCAAATTGGATTAAAGCCATCATTTATTGCATTATTAAAGAGATATATCTAAATATCCGGGGAGACAATATGCTTAAAGCATTCTCCATTAAAAGTTAAGATTTTTTTACTAAACTTAATTCCTATCGTTTTGATTTTAATTTGAAAAGGTTCTATTCTACGGTTCTTGATAAAATTATAACTTTTAGTTATGCTGGTCTGCACTGTGTAGTGATAAAAGGCTATTCGAAATCGGCCGGTTACCAACCTGGAGTTCGCTTTGAAGACAATCGCTTCAGAAACTCTTGGAACGCCGTCTACGTGGCCGGTGCCTGGCGGTTCGTTCAATGCAACTGGGGCGCTCGGCATCTGGTCAACGCCAAAGAAGCCCCTAAAGCCGGCAACAAAGCCAAATCTGACAGTCTAAGGTGAGAGAAGAACTGCTTTACGCCAGTAGTAGGCAACCAATGTTACAAGACTGAAATGCCTTGCATCTCGTCACCATGAAGGATAAAGTAAAATCACTTTATTTCTAGATACGAGTACGACGATCATTATTTCTTGACGGACCCAAAAGAGTTCATCTACGAATTCTTCCCGCTGCAGTCGGATTGGCAGCTGCTGAAGAACCCAATCACCTTGCAGGAATTCGAAGAGCTCCCGTTCGTTAGGTCGCTGTTCTTCAGATATGGCCTATACTTTTCCGATCCCAATACCAAAGCTGTTATGTTTACTGATTCAACAGGTAAGGTTTCCGATTTCAACGGTAGAATGTTGGTTATTTTTTATTATATATACAGGTGCTGCTACAGTGAGAATCGCTATGCCGTCCCATATGCAGGGTAGTTTAATATTCCACTATAACCTCAAATTTTACGATAGCGATGGTGATAACTTCGACAGAGTATCGTTGAAGAGATTTGTCATGCAAGTAAGTAAAGCAGTTCAACACGATTTTCCTCCCATGAATTTTTTTTTAATATTTCCCAAAGATAAAGAAAGAAGTTTTTTATATACGCTAAAGAAGTATCGCTAGTACCACTCGGCTGTTATCATAGTAAAAAAGTACAACTTTTGATAATCAGCTGTCAAACGCGTGTGTTACAAACGAGTGTTTGAGAATAAAGCCGGAAAATGTTAAAAAATATCGAAAAAAACCGTGGCACGATTTGTTGTGTTGTTGGAAATCCTGGGTTGAGTTTTTATCGGTTTTCCAATAAACAGTGTTAATCCGAATGAAGAAATAAATTTCACACAGTCCCTGTAAATATAAATTGTATCTATTAGATACAATAAATACACATTTTAGTAATGTAATATCGGTACAATTTCTCACCGTAATATCCATAACGACTAAATTCACATAAATCACCAAGTTCAATTAACTAAACCCACATAATCAACCACTTACAAAAGAATCATAAAATAGACAAACTCATAGAAAAAGAATAAACAAAATATTGCGTAAATAACCACAGATTTGTTCTTTAAACAGTTCAGAATTTTATAACCAAACCAAACCTAAAGAAGGAATCTGTATTTATTTTATTGGTTACTGTGATGGCTACAAGATGGCGATAGTGTTAAAATATGTTTATTTTAGAATAGAAATATAATTTCGATTGAATCGATTTATTATAAGAAAAATAATACCATTTATTATTGAATTTTGAAAAACGTGTGAAGTATAATTTATCTAAAATTCCGCAACAGTGTTGCCACAACACCTGCTTATTTCCTTGGATGTAGGCGTGCCTGCCTCGCGTATGCTAATACGAGAGAAGGAGACAACTATGATATCGCATTGTAATAGAACGAGACAACAAGGCTAACGCCAATCGTGAGTCTAAATTAGTTCAGGCATGCTTCTAGCTATAAATATTAGTTTAAATTGCGGTCGTTTCAAATTCAAATAATTTAAATGTTGCTGGGTATTCCACGTATAAAATCAATCAATTTTATTGACTTTTCACAATTCATGTAATCCAAATATTAAAAATTTATAGTATATTATAGAAAGTAAAATATGTAAATTATACTTAATTTTTTAATTCTCTATGATGATGGTTATGTTTGTGAAAAAATTACTTTTTACTATTTTCTTTAAAATGTCCAAACTTAAAAGTTATCATTAGTTAATTCTGCACCAACAAATGCACTTACCGAATTGGATCCTTTGGCAAAACATGAAAATGCAAAGATTTAGTTCTTGAATTTTATTTACAATTAAAAACACAATAATTCACCATGATCCCTTAGATAAAATACACACACTAACGTAACCATATAAGCATTTAAGCGTTGAGTTTCTTAATCAGTGATATAAAGAATAATCAATCGAAATCGAGTACTAAACCAGTTTTTTAGTTTTTTCCTTGCAACGTAAAACACAAATACTTCTTTAGCGTATAGGAATATTTCATGGGAGGGAAAAAATCAAATTTTGTCGCACTGTGTAACAACTCTTTTAGTCTGTTGTTGGCAACATGGTGGCCTTCAGGGTGCACGCACCGTGCAGCGGTGCTTTTCTCCTCGACATTTTCGCGAACGCAGTCACCCCCAAGGAGTACCTGACCGGGGAACCGATGAAGTTCAAGAGCGTGTGCAAGTTTAAGATTTGCTGTGAAGACCTGCAGACTGTCATGGTGCCTCTGCCCGACTGCGCCAGCGGCGAATGGGGCCCAACCAAGGCGACAAGACTGTTCGGATTGGTGCCAATCACTCATCAAGTAAGTTTTAACTTTGCCTTATAATGGAATGTCATTATACCTTTGAGTCATTCCAAATAAAAACACCAAATGGGGTGCGCTGCTTGATTTTTTATTTTGATAAAAAAAATGTATGGATAATAATAACAAAACAAGACTAACTAGTCTGAAAAGATGAAGGTGGGGACTACATTTCCTGAAAGTTTCATATTTTTATTTTTTCCTCAACATAATGATTTCTGAGGGCAAAATTGGCTAATTTTGAAAATTATTAAGTTTCAATATTTTTTTTAATAAAGAAAATGATAGTCCAGAAACTTAAAATAATAGTTACGTTTTCTATTGTATAAGTTCTTGATACCTGAAAAAAATAACTTTCTAGATTTATGTAGTAGAATAGGCAGACAAAAATCACAAAAATTGGCAAATTATCATGAATCTTTTAGTGGTTTACCATTCTTTTATGAGATGAACTAATTAGATAATAATAATTAATATTGAAAACATACTTATCAGGCAGTAAAATAAAATTATAATCATTTCAACAATTGCCACAGAAAAAAGTTTTGGCCCCTTATAAGAGAGTAAGAAAATGACACGATTTCAGGTTTCTAAAGGGTGCCGATTAAAAATAAAGCAACTAAAAATTAAAACGGCAACGGTTTTTCATATATGATAGGTACCTAAAAGATCATCCTCAAATTTTTTTAAATAAAAAATCATGCAGCGCACTTTTAAATTCATTTTTGGTGTTTTCATTTGGATTGACTCCTTTATAAAACCATGGGGTCTTTACATCTCAAATCCACCAGGCAAAAAGAGTTGGGAATCCAATGATTAGACAACATTCTCGTGTGTTCAAATAAAATTTTAATTTCTTTTATATAAATTCTTTTTAAAGCTAGGAATACCGTAGTCACCTATATTTAACTAGTTTTTTTATATGATTTTACTCTTTTTATTAGGTACTTTAATCTTCTTTTAGGACGCTTTGGTATTTGCGGGTAGAGAGCTGGAACTTCAGTTCCGTATGTCCAGGCAGTTGACAGATTTCATGGCAACGTTGCATAAAAACGACGTCGAAGAAAAACGCCTGTCAAAATTCGTTTCTCACAACGTCGTGGACGATATAGCGACCTTTAACATTAGTTTCCCCGAAGAAGGTCAGTACGGCCTTGACATTTACACGAGAGAAATGGCGTCTGCCTTGGACGCGCCGGGCGAAAAACACCTGCTTACGCACTGCTGCAAATACTTGATCAACTCGTCGAAAAGGAACTAATTTTGTTGAATGTACAAAAGTAAGGTTATAACTAACCAAAAACATGTAAATGATGGAAAGTGCTAGTCGCTACGTGATGTATCTAATTTCGAGAAAATTGGCGCATAACAAAATAATTTTGAATAACGATTTTAACTACATACCTACCTTTTACAAATGGGGTAGTTAAATTTTTTCTGACCTATACTTTTTATGGTTTTATTCAAGGCGTTTTGTAATATTAAACATTTCTGTTAAATCAGAATTTCAATTGAGTTTACCGTTTTCGAGATATTTACAAAAAATATAAATTTTTATGACGTCACAAACCTCGCCATGTGACCAACTTTCTAAGATTTCTATTGGTTGAAAATTACCCTGTTGTCAAGTTGTCTTGTTAATGATTTCATTCGGTTATGTCAGAAAATACCCGAAGAGGTTATGTACAAATACTGTCACTGTTGAGTGAAAGATGGTCACCAAATTCATTAAGTACCTATCTTCCTTATTACGAGGTATCATATTACTGTTTGATATTTTAGAGTCCAAGATATATCTAAAAGAATATAAAGAACTAGGCATTATACTAATGAAATGCATTTACGACAAAATATGATTATAATTATAGGTACTTACTTTATTTGTTCAATGTAACCATTCCACAAGATTCATCTGCTTTGGAGTCCGTTATTAATAAATCACTTATCTAATATCAATTACAAATAACATAACAATAACATTGATTTTCAATAATCTAAATTTAAAAAAAAACAACCCGAAAAAAAGAAACGTCAAAAAATCAATTCTTCTTCTTCTTCTCAACTAAAATTATAGATCAAGTGGTTTTAAAACTAAAATATTATAACGTGGCGCCATCTATCGTAAGAATCTTAAACTAAACACACTGGCAACCATAGAAAAAGCTGGCAACGTTGTCAATAGCCTAGTGACGTAATTAGGAGATTTTTTTTGTAAATATCTCGAAAACGGTAAACTCAATTGCAATTCCGATTTCACAGAAATGTTTAAAATTACAAAACGCCTTGAATAAAACTATAAAAAGTATAGGTCAGAAAAAATTTAACTACCCCATTGTTGTCTAAACAATGGTGCTCACTAGAAACAAATTAATTTAATGCTTGCATTCAAAATGTAAAATATATTTATTAACTACTTGCCGCAAAAACTATTGAAATAGTGCAATAAAATATTTTTGTATACCAATTATTCACTATTCTCAACGCAATTTTACCTCTATTAATTACATTTTTATACATTTTCAAATATTATTTTTAGCAGATGTAAAATTTTGTTGGGAGAGATATTTTTGATAATATTGTACTTATATTATATTTGTTAATAATTAATATATTTAAATTAAAAACTTTAAGCTGGCTTAATTGTTTATAAAATTTATTACGTATACTTACTATAGTATTAAAATGTATTTATTTTTAAATGTTGTTTTTTTTATTACCCGCATTTTTCCTACTTTTATAAAAAAATAACCCCAAGTAACAATTGCAAGATACTTTTGATTTAGTTGGGGTTTAAAAGTTCAGTAAAACGATATTCGTTTTAAAATGTTACCACTTTAAATTAAAATAAAATATTTGGTCTTATACTGGTTTTATAATACCTACTCTCAATATTTGCTATCTTAAAACTAGGATTAAATAGCCAGTTGCTTTTAAAACAATCCATTTTGTAAATCGCTCACGTTATTTTTGTTTAACGTCTCAAAGAAAAAATTAAAACACTTTTTTAGTACTCGATTTTGATTGATTATTCTTTATATCATTGACATTATATAGTTACGTTAGTGTTTGCATTTTATCTAAGGGATCATGGTGAATTATTGTGTTTTTAATTGTAAATAAAATTCAAGAACTAAATCGTTGCATTTTCATGTTTTGCCAAAGGATCCAATTCGGTACCTAAGTACAATTTGTTGGTGAGTAATTAACTAATGATAACTTTACCTAATATAATTTATATTTAAGTTTGGACGTTTTTAAGAAATTAGTAAAAAATAATTTTTACACAAACATAACCTTAAAATCAACCATTTTTATATTTGAGTTGTATAAAAAACGCCGACAACTGCATTTTAAACAACAAAATATACCTACGAATTCATGGCAACATAATATTATATATAATACATAATATAATGGTATTTTACCGTTGAGTGGAGACTTTAAAGAATTCTTAATCAACGCTTTTAATAATGCTAAATGCTGTTTAAATTTACACGACTTATACGATTTTTACTGAATTGAAATGTTTACACTTTTCACGATAATCATTACTAAAAAGTGTACTTATTGTATCTAATAGATACAATTTATATTTACAGGGACTGTATGAAATTTATTTCTTCATTCGGATTAACACTGTTTATTGGAAAACCGGTAAAAACTCAACCCAGGATTTCCACTTGAAATACACCCAACAACACAACAAATCGTGCCACGGTTTTTTTTCGATATTTTTTTAACACTTTCCGGCTTTATTCTCAAAAACACTCGTTTGTAACACACGCGTTTGACAGCTGATTATTAAAAGTCGTACTGTATAAAATAATACAGATATAATTCCATTTTGATTCTTTTAAAATAAAAGTCTATATTCATTAAAAACTCATTTTTTATTTTTGCAAATGTCAAATATATAAAATATAATTTCCTTAATACCTACTAATTGGTTGTTATTGCAGCACATCTTATTTATTAAAATCTTAAAAAACATTACTATATTGGTATACAATATAATAGAAATAAAACAAAATATGCAATGTTTAAATAAATTAAACAGATACTTGTTATAATTATCACTTCTTCAAAAACTGATTTTTTATACATACCTTAAAGTTCAATCAAACTTTAAGGTGTATGGTTGAATTTTCGGATTGGGCCTGGAAGTCTCCACATTTTCTATAATGGAAGATATGGCTCCTTCGACCTCGTGAACCGCGTGTTTTAAACTTGAATTTTCCATGGTTCCCAAAGATTCATCCAACGAAAAATTATTCGCCAAAATCTGCTGTAATTTTGCCAAAGCGTCATCAAGATCATTATGAAACTCAACAGGTGAATTATCAGTTTTTTTTTGGTCGATAAATATGGAAGTTTGTCGGCCTGTAAATAAATATTACGTAGGTATTTTCAGAATCTTTTACAGAATGGGGTAGTTAAATTTTTTCTGACCTATACTTTTGATGGTTTTATTCAAGGCGTTTTGTAATTTTAAACATTTCTGTGAAATCGGAATTTCAATGGAGTTTACCGTTTTCGAGATATTTACAAAAAAAATCTCCTAATTACGTCACTAGGCTATTGACAACGTTGCCAGCTTTTTCTATGGTTGCAAGTGTGTTTAGTTTAAGATTCTTACGATAGATGGCGCCACGTTATAATATTTTAGTTTTAAAACCACTTGATCTATAATTTTAGTTGAGAAGAAGAAGAAGAATTGATTTTTTGACGTTTCTTTTTTTCGGGTTATGTTTTTTTTTTAAATTTAGATTATTGAAAATCAATGCTATTGTTATGTTATTTGTAATTGATATTAGATAAGTGATTTATTAATAACGGACTCCAAAGCAGAGGAATCTTGTGGAATGGTTGGTTACATTGAACATTGGAGCTTTTAAACAAATAAAGTAAGTACCTATAATTATAATCATATTTTGTCGTAAATGCATTTCATTAGTATAATGCCTAGTTCTTTATATTTTTTTAGATATATCTTGGACTCTTAAATATCAAACAGTAATATGATACCTCGTAATAAGGAAGATAGGTACTTAATGAATTTGGTGACCATCTTTCACTCAACTGACAGTGACAGTATTTGTACATAACCTCTTCGGGTATTTTCTGACATAACCGAATGAAATCATTAACAAGACAACTTGACAACAGGGTAATTTTCAACCAATAGAAATCTTAGAATGTTGGTCACATGGCAGGTTTGTGACGTCATAAAAATTTATATTTTTTGTAAATGTCTCGAAAACGGTAAACTCAATTGAAATTCTGATTTCACAGAAATGTTTAATATTACAAAACGCCTTGAATAAAACCATAAAAAGGATAGGTCAGAAAAAATTTAACTACCCCATTAATTTTACCTCCTATCCAAGTACTGATATCGTCCAACCGGTAAGTTTTAGTCGAGTCAGATTGTGAAGAAGCATTGGACGACGAATTTTGTTTGCTTTGTACTTTATTGAATTTCAAATTTTGAACTATAGGGCTGTAAAAATCTAACTCTTGACTGCCCCTAAGCCGTTGCCTACAATTTTCCACCATTGGCGTTGATTCTATTATTTTTCTAGGGACATTTTCTTGCGTAACGTTTTTCTGATTAATTAATAAATCCTTTAATATTTTTAGTTTTTGTATTTGTACTGATACGTGGTTTCTGTGCTCTTCCAGGTATTGTTTTAACTCTTTTTCTGTATGATTACCGATTATTAGTAATTGTTGCAGCTCTCTAAAATATTGCTTTTAATATTATTCATTATATTAAGATAGTATCTCCATTTAAAGAGTTTTCATGGATTAATTTTAAATAAAAACATTTTTTTATTTTGTATTTTAAGAGCAACTGTCATTTCAAATTTTGTGCTGCCAACTTAAGAAACCCAAAAATATGACAGTTTTAAACCGTAATTATGCTATTAAAACAACAAATTAACAATAAATATTGTTACTTATTTACTCTTTATGTTGTTGTTAATTTTTATTAATACTTTAATTTGTAATAAAGAGGTAATTTGTTAATTAAAATACATTGTTTTATTTTTACTACATTGGCACCGCTAAATTTCCCATCACGGCCAACCGTTATTATTTATAAAACTCTTTAAACAAAGCCTACCTTAAATTTAATGAAATATTACCTATTTTGTAATTCCAGTTGTCTTATAATCATTTGAAGTTGAGTATCAGGGGGCGATAGAGGCTCTATATTACAAATCGAGTCAGTTGAAACCGATTTTGGGAAGAATTCTTTACCAGCGCTAAAAAATGTAAACAACTGCATATTTTGCCATAAGCATACACTGAAAAGAAGCAGGGGCGTAGCCAGGATTGTTTCAGGGGGGGCAGGCAAGGGAAAATTAATACGATTTTTGACGTTAAGGACCAAATTAAATGCAGGCAAACCACCATTGTATTTTAATATTGATATTTTTACACCTACCTTAACGACTTTGTTTCAATGATTGAGACGTTGTCGTTTCTATTATCATTTTTGGGGGCGCATGGTAAAAACCCAAATATTTTTTTAATTATTGCATGGGTCATATCGGAGGAACTCCTCTGTAAAATATGCATTACAAATTATACCTGAACATAAAGTTAATTTAAACAATTATACCTGAGTGCAGTATTCTCTCATTGGGTGGGATAATTTGTGTGATTTTTTAAGTCTACCTGAGAAAAAGCATTTTTGACATTGAATAAATCTCGAGCATTTTATGCACCTGTATTTTAAGCCCATTAAGGGGGTCACTTTACAATTCGTACATTTACCGGAATGAACAACTAAAATTATAAAAATATTATGTTTTTTTTTAACAGTAAAATTTCAACATTTTACCAACCTGTTTCAGCTAGTTTTATTCTATGCAATATAGGCAACCAAACAAACATTTGTGGCTTTTTTTCCAACCACGAAATAAACATACTGTCTTGTATCCCCACCAGTCCTGGGGACTTTAAAAAACAATTTTCGATTGAGGGGTTCACCAAATGTTGCCCAAAACTAACTTCCTCATGTATAAATGTTGTTATTTTACTCAATTTAATTAAAGCGCTCTGCAGTCTCAATCTTGTAACGCAATTATTATGATCGGCACATAAAGTGAAAAAAAAACTATACATATCAATTAAATTACAACTACTTAACAGCGCCAATACCAACTTCGTGGAGGATACTTGGATTTTACCTTTTCTCTCCCTAAAATTAATTAATCAATTAGGTATCTAGTAAATATAGAAAATTTTATAAACGTACTTATCAAAAACATTGTACAAAAAATTAAGCATCAGTTCGGTGGCATAATCAATATCGGTGTTGGTGTGATTTTTTTTATTTGCAGCAAAGTAAATGTCGGATAAAACAGCTTCTAAATCGCAGCTTTCAAGGCACAGAGAGCTTTCATTTGAACCCAGCCTATGTCTTTCGAAAACACCCGCTATAATTGATAAGGGTACTTCATCCACTAAAAATATATTTGTTATGCTACTGTTAATAATTATTATAATAATTAATGTGCACATACTATATAGAGATTGTTGTAATACGCGAAATTTTAGAGCCACTCTATAAGATGAATATTTCACATAATTACATTCATCTAATCTTTGTCTGATTTCTGAGAATTTTGGATGATCCCATTGTTTTGCATTAGTAACCTCACTAAAATCATCATTTTATTATAAAAATAAAAAAAAACATCAACTTACTTAATATAATAAGCAAACCCATCTTCGTTTTCAATTTTTCTCCAATTTTCAGTCATTTTACTTTCTTCAACAGGTGCCTACACAACAGGTGAATTAACCTTGAATTAAGCACTATAATTTACCGCATTAACACTTTATCACTCACTAAGTATCACGCGATTATTTTAAACTACACTTTCAGTCATCAATAGATTAAAAAAATCACATTTTGCGAACATTTTAACACTTCTTCCAGAGATAAGAAGAAACCGTTTATTGTTGTTTATATTCGTCGTCTCTCTCGCACCGATAAATTTTAAATGTTTCGTCTTCGTTGCGCCAACGCAAAGTGTATTTTAAAACGCCCACAAATCAAAGCTTTAGTGTAACGTTGGTTGCATAACTCTTTGAATAAAAAACCTTTTTAGGTATTTTTATTCAAAGCTGTTAATAAATTTGGTAATTATAAATAATATAATGATGATAATAATAATATAAATGATTATTGATTCCATTTACGTACATATTTAGAAAGCAATTAAACATATGTTTAATGCTAATTATTCGGTCATGTTTATAACGATCATAAAATGAAAACCGAAAATCCTATTTGTTTTCTATTTTGCGACCTATTCTAACAATTGTTATGCACAACATATGTATGACGAGAAAGTATTTTGATTCGTGAGGTGCATTTTTTTTTCGATATAGGTAGGTATTGACAAGGACAAGGACATTCAAATTAGTTTTTTAGGTCTTTATATTTTAAGTTTTAGATCTATATAGATCTAAGTATTTATTTTCTGAAGTAAAGTATTTTCTAAAATTGTAAGTGTTTGCAGGTAAGTTTGTATAAATTCTTTAACTTTTTTCCATTAATTTCACATATTATTATTGAACTCAGCAATGCAGCTATAAGAAGCGGCTGTGGCAAAGAAAGTAGGAATCAAGTGTGAATCTAGATCATCGATCCACTTGCTTTAGTAATCATAAAATCGCTCATAAAAATGAACATTATGTTGTAATTTTACTTAAATTAAATTCTTCATCAAAATTACATATTTTAGTCAATAAATTTATTCATTAATGAAGATGAAATATCGTTAAAATTTGTTGCATGGCATACTGCTATTTTAGACCTTAATAAAATCAATCAAGTTGGTTCCTTGGTTCCGTAGCAGCATGCCATCAACATATGGAGTGTGTCTAAGCACTTCTGAATAATTTCACTTGCTCAATGCAATGAAACTAATTATCATTATAATGTAATCCAGAACCCAATTAAAACCAAAACGTATATACACAACGAAATTTTAATGGGTCACGATTGGAAAAAAGTGAAGAACGAAAGTATGAAATGAAATTTAATGTATGAATTCATAAGTTTTCGTAATTAACGTGCAGGTAACATCTGCAATATGGAAATATTAAAAAAGGATTTATTTCTACTGGAAAAGTAAATGTAGGTAACCAATTAAAGATTAGAAATATGATGCGTGGACTAATTTAACATTTATAATATCATATCAATTAGATATTTGCTATAATTGATGAGATAGTTTCGCGAAAGGATCGAACGGTCGAACTTTTTTACCCTATTTCTACATCTAAATGCAGTACTTTAAAAAAAATCTCGTCCATTGACAACTTTGTTTTTATTTTTTTTTCACTGTGTTAAAAATAAAGAAATTAATTTTATAAATAATTTTTGTATTTCAAAACGTATCGATTTGAAATTTGGACAAAATGTAGATCTTAATAATGACAATTAATGCATGAAAAAAATTTGTTTACATTTTAACGTAAAGAGGGCGCTGGTGATAATTTTGTTTAAAATTTAACAATTTTTAAAGGGTAAATAATCGAAGAAGCAACTTTGTTTTATAAATTTGAGTACCTAGGTATAACACGTTAAAGTATTGAAATTTGACTATTATTTGATTAGATTAACTTTTTTATACAAATTAAGTTTCTGTGGCCAGGATCAGTTTTGAATTAGCAGTAGCAGTATTTATAAATGTTTAGTTTAGTACATTTTGCCATTTTTATACAAATATTTTTGTATCTTTTATTAATAATTACTTAAGTATAGCATAACACATAAATTACGTTTAATATACAGGGTGTTTTACGTACGTAGTCCGTTAGAAGACATAATTTAAAATTTTAATATCGTAAATTATTCGATTTAGACTTTTTTATTTTGAACAAAATATTACTTCCTGTTTTACCGGAAATGTCTTTAACTTTGTTATTTTAAACAGGACACCTCATATATTTTTACATTTTTGAATTCTACATAAAATTCTGAGTTAAATGGCCATTTAACTCATGCTATGGTAGGTATATACCATATCCTATACCTATATATATATATAATTAATATCTCGAAAAATATTGACTTTATAAAGTCAATACCTATAGGTATTGACTTTATAAAGTCAATATTTTTCGAGATATTAATTTTTCAATGAAATATTTTAATTAATTTTAAACAATGACATATTGAGTGGTAAGGGGCCGTCCATAAATAATGTCACACACTTAGGGGGGAGGGAGGGATGTCGAAAATGTGACAGTTTGTGACAGCCGGGGGGGGGGTTGGGAGGTTGTGATGTCACAAAATTATAAAAATATTTTGGATATTAAGATTTTATTTTAAGCAAAAATTTCGTGGGGTAGACCTTAAAAAAAATTAAATCAGTGTAACGTGACGCCAATGGGGAGGAGGGGTCCCATAATTTGTGACACTTTGTGACAAAGGGGGGAGGGGGGGTCAAAAAAAGTGTGACATTATTTATGGACGGCCCCTAACCATGGATAATGTCACATTAACCCACATGTAGAATTTCACAGGTTTGTTGATACAAAATAGTATTGAAAATATTAGAAATTGTTAAATGTCTCTGAAATTTTAACTTTAGGAAACAGTTATTATAATACCAATCGAAAGATTCTTGAATTTTCTATTTGATTATGTTAAAACATACAGGGTTTTACATTTATAATAAAAACGTTATTATTGTTTGAAATTTGCCTAATTTCAAGTGGTTTTTCTCAAGGTATTTGTTGAAAACATGTCAACAAACATAATAACAAAAACATTTGGGGCTATTTGTGATTAACGTGCATTTAGCAAAATATTAACGAAAAAAACTAATATCTTGAAAACTATTGACTTTGGGTATAGTCTAAATCAAATTGTATATGCTATTCAAATTTCAAATCCATATCGTTTGCGTTTCTCCAGAAACACCCTGTATACTTAGCATTATATTAAATATAAAAAATGCAAAATAACTAATTACAAAAAATCGAAAAACAACTGAAGGCCTAACTTAAAAATGATGTCTCTCGTAGAAACATAATTTGCATGTAGAAGTTTATATATCAAATAATAGTTAATTATCAGTACTTTAACGTGATATACTCAAAATTATAAAACAACGTTGCTTCTTCAAATTTTTAACCCTTAAAAAATGTTAAAATTTTAAATTAAATTGTCCCCACTTATGTTAAAATCTCAAAAAAATAATACTCGAATTTATTGCCATTAATAAGGTTTACATTTTATCTTAATTTCAAATCCATACGTTTTTAAATAAAAACGTTATTACAAAATATTTATCTATTTTTAACAAAGTAGAGTGACTTAAGGCCTGAAAACCACAATCAATGGATGAATTTTTTTTTTAATGTGCCATTTAGATGTAGAAACAAGGTTATATAAATATATTCAATTCTGGCATCAATTGAAAACAAATATAAGTATGTACTAAACAATTAGGTAGGTTTCAATTACTTAGGTAGGTCTATATAACAAATTAATTAATTCCTTCCCAGTTAGCTAATATATAAATAGTAATAATATATCAATGTTGCTTCTGAAACAATATAAGGAATTTAGCAACCAAAGAAGCTGGATTATTCCACGATCTCTTTATTCAAATCAAAAGTGTGCGCAACTAGTATTACACAAAATCAATTGCTACAAAGATTATTCTTTCAGGAAAATCAGGAAGTTTATAAAAATAATTAACATTCTCAGTAAATTAAAATTAATTCAAAAAATTAATTATTTATTTGAACACATGTTGTTGGTAAATTTTGTTTAAAAATGATTTGTTTATTATGGTGTTTTATTTCTTAATATTTTACAATTTGAGTAAAATAAAATATTGGATAATGCCATGTAACTTATTATTCTATTAAAATAGAGATTGGTAATTTTATTTAAATAGCTTTTTATTATTATTTTGACATTTATATTATAATAACATTATTTTGTCAATTAATTAATTTAATCATAATTGAGGCATAAAAAAATGATATTTAGTTATAAATAGGTAATAATTATTATTGAGGTATAAACAAACTATTTATACATAGTTTAGCATTATTAAATCAATTTAGTTCTAAGATTAATTTGCAAACAAAAAGACCTCCTTTCGTCAAGCAGTTATTCATAATGGATTTTTTAACAGTGGAAGAAAAAACAGAAATGATTTTGATTTATGAAGAAGCAGGCAGGAATCTTGATGATGCTGTTAATATCTACGCTCAGCGTTTTCCGGAAAAAATTCGATCACGTACTTCATTTCACCGTACAGTCAAGCAGTTTACTACAAACGGGAGTGTGAAAATAAAAAATTAATAAATATATTTAAAAAATAAAACCAAGTATTTTATTCAAAAATTATTGCAGAATCGTATAAGAAAAAAAATCGAACAAAACTGATTTTTTTTCATTACATCGCCATCTATTACAAATATGAAAAAATGTTTTAGACAAAATCTACCTATTTTTAGTCGAATGATCCGAATCTGCAATAAAAAATAGGGTATTCCATTGGAAATTTTAAAGTTACAAGTTAAATGACACCCTGTATACTATAGAAAACAATTTAAGTTAACTATTAAGCACAAATTTGTTAAATGCTACTCATCGAGAATGAAAATTAAAGTTTCACACTAATAGCGAAATATCATCGCCTTGAATGGTAAGCAATTCACTTAAATTAGAATGCTTGTTAAATAGATCATATCGTTTAATTAGTAAGTAAATTAATTAGATCTCATTCTTCGCGAGAAGCATCAACTTTAAAGTAGATAATCACTTTCGTGTTCAGCATACTTGACTCACGCGAAATCGTTTTTAAGCAAAATGTTGTGAGAATTTTGATGTTGACGTTGAAAACAAAAGTGAATAGGGTAAACTATGTACATAGTTATTGGACACTTAAGGAATATTATTTATTTTAAATTTATATATGCGTTGTTTTAAAGATTTTAGTTTTTTTCTTAAAAATATATAAAATAATAGTTGGGCTAACTAAAGCTTTTTTCTGTGTACGGAATAAAAGTACGATTTATTTATGTACAAACTACGTTCTTAATACTTGGTAAATGTACATACATAAAACGTATTATCGAGTGGAATTCGGACGTACTTAGTACGTACTTAGGATGTACATAAGATATCGCAGTACGTACATAAAATGTAAGGTACGTCGAAGGTCGACGTACTATGTACGTACATAAAATGTAAACTGGTTGTTTGGGTAATAATATATTCTGGATCTAAAATGTAAATGTCAAAATTATGAAAAGTTTGAGCTGTGTTTGTATCTCTACCCCTCCAATACTTAATGATTAAATACGAAAACTAAAACAAAATCACCCTGTAGAGTTAAATTATTAGAAAGTAAATTACCGGCTAATAATTCGACAGTAGGTAAACGTCTATATTTATATAATTGTAAAAGTATCTTTTGATAAGCAAAGAAATCTATTCATCCATACCATAACATCTGGGTCCTGCACAAACTGAAAATTTTAAAGGATGCTGTAGCAAATTGAAATTTAATTTGATTATGTTTTTTTTGACAAATTAATAAAAAAATTGGATATGGTTTCATTTGGTTAAAAAAATTCGCCTTTATCCTAAAAAAAATATGTATGTTTTTATTAAAAGACTTTTTAATAAGGTTTTTGATTGGCAGGCGAGGACCGATAGAGTGGCCAGCGAGGTCTCCAGATCTCACCCCTTTTGATTATTTCTTATGGGGCTACCTTAAATCAAAGGTACCAACAGACCAAAAAATTTAGAAGACTTAAAAAATCAAATTCGTGAAGAATGTCGCCTTATTGGTACGGAAGTCATCCTAAACGTTCTCAGAAAATTTTCTGATATATATAGGCTTACTGTCAAGAAACCATTTAATTGGTTAATGTATCAATAGAAAAGCATTTAAGTCACATTTTTTAATGAATTTGTTCCATATTTTTGCCTGGGACTGTATATCAAGTATATCAAGAAACTTTTCTTTTTATTTCATACAAGCACGTACCTTTTCTATAACGGTATTAATACATATCGTTGTAGTAAATAGTGAAACTATCTATTTTGTCTACGTAGAACACGGTGGTCAAAAATTAAGTATAGGACGAACAAAAATGTCAACCAAAACTGATAGCATATTTTGATTATAGACCCTTTTGGTAACACTAACATGTATTTATCAAAATTCCAGCTGATCCTATTTTAAAGTTTTGCAAACTTTTTTGTTTTTCTATTTCTATATATTATTTTGCAATTATTGCACTAAAACTACCTGTACAATTTTAATAAAATTAAGCAAAATAATAAACTTTGTATCATTTAAATTACTTTACTCCCCAGTATTGATTTATTGAGTCACCTATTATTTTTTACCACTCAAAACAAAACATAACAAAAAAAACGAAGATTTATATCTAAAATATTTTTTATAACAAAAAATACTGGAAGTTTGTCTATGAAATAATTACAACTTGCAAATTTTGTAAAACAATAATTAAGGTGGTTATGAAAAAAATTGCTATACGTTATAACACAAGTGACAATTTGTTTTAGTTGTTTATTTAATGTATACTTTATAAAGTTAAAAATAGTATTTTAAAATGAAAATTAAACCGAAATTCAAGTTAAGCCATGAAGAAAATCGAACGAAGGTATGTGCTGGCTGTGGAGACAAAATTGTTTTTGGTAATCGAAAAATTCAGAGTTTAGGGTTTCTGAGAAAATATAAAAATTACTGCAGACTTTTTCAAACGAACACTTTAACTTAAGTTATTCAAAATTACCTACTTCAATATGGTAAAAACGGTATTTTTGCATAGCCACAATTGCCAAATTTTCAAAATTTAGAAATTGCTAGAGAATTTCGCGGCAGCCAAGAATGTATGTGCTTCATCTGCAAAATGGCAAGATATAAAGGGCATAAAAAATTATTAAGGGAAGAGGATGGACGAACGAACTAAAGTTTTGATATTCTCTTCCTTTCTAGGGGATATCGCTAGATGTAAGAAGCATGTTTGTACAGACACTGAAGAATTCAAAAATACTGTTTCCATGTTAAAAACAATTCCATGTAAAACCCAAGAAAAAGTTTTACTGAAAATTTAAGGCAAGCAGTAATCGATTTTGCTTCAAAGAATCTTTAGTTATTTATTAGTTTTGTATTAGGTAGGTACCTTAAAACAATAAATAAGATATTGCAAACTGTATTTTACATTATTTTGTATTTATAATGTAATTTATCCATATTTCAGTCATGTATCTGCTAAATTTTTAAAAACATTTGATAATGGTACTAGAGTATTTTATCGAAATGGCATAAACAATTTTAAAATACTAAGAAATATGCAAAACTTTAATAAAGGATCAGCTGGGATTTTGATAAATACATTTTTGTGTTACCAAAAGAGTCTATAATCAGTAGGGATGGGATATTTAGGTACTAAAAACTGAAAAATAGGTAACTAAAAAGGTACTAAAAAAAAGCATTTTAGGTTAAAAAAACAGCATTTTAGGTAAAAAAAAAAATTAAAAGTTTAAGTTTCGTTTATAATTTTGTTTAACCGCATACCCAAACACAGAACATACCCACAATAAACTATTTATATGCAATAAACTGTGTTTTACTGACACTCACTACACAGAAGTTCTATGACAGAACTCACTAGTAGTGAGTCACTACAAAGAAGGTAACTGTAAAGAAAGTTACTGTTACAGTCTGTAACCATACTCTCTAAAAGTGAAACAGTGAAATTTTCACTATTTCCGTTAGTGAGTTATTATTCACTGTAAAATTAGTGTTTTACAATATAAATTAGTAAAATTTTAACTTCTCCAAATTAGTGTTTTTTATTATCACTACTTTTCCGGAACTCTCGACATAAAATAGTGAAATTTTAACTTTTTTGAACTAAACCTATTTCACTAATTTGTACAGTGTAATTTCCACTAAATAAATTAGTGCAAATAAATCGCTACATGAAAAAGTGGGTATTCACTAATTGCTAGTGGTATACTTATCACTGCGGCAAATAGTTAATATGCACTGTCAATCAGTGAAAATCCACTGTTTCATTTTTAGAGAGTAAGAAAAAATTCTATACCGTTAAGTTGCACACCCTGGATAAAATATTGGCGCAAATTTTAAAAAGAACAAAAAAAATAAAATAAGTAAAAATACGTAACAAATATATGAAAATAAACTGACAAATTAAAAAATATGTAACAAAAGTATAAAAAGGTAGTTTAAAGCAAAAACCTCCAAAAAAGGTAAAAAAGGTGAAAAAAAGTTAAAAAAATAGGTAACAAAAGTATAAAAAAGGTAGTTAAAAGCAAAAACCTCCAAAAAAGGTAAAAAAGGTGAAAACAAGTTAGGTTCATATAAAAGAAAATCTTTTAAAACACATTTTGGCATTATTGGTTTTCAAATAGTTACATCGGTTAAAAAAAGGTAAAATAACTAAAATCCCATCCCTAATAATCAGATTATGCTATCAGTTTTGGTTGGCATTTTTGTTCGTCCTAGTTTTGACCACCGTGAGATGTAGGGGAGACCGGGTTCTGATCAACATGTTTTTTTACAAAAATACATCTAAAACTACTTTTTTTTCTGACTAATAGTTTTTGAGATGTGGAATTTCAAAAATTCTTTAAGAATTGTTCGATTGGGACAATTTTTTTAAAATTATTCGTGTTTTTGTGGTTTTCGAAAAATAACGAAAAAATCCTGTGTTCTCATGATGTTTTGTCGCGTTTTTAGGCATGTGTCCCAAGGAGCATTTTAAGTAAAAGCGTAGAGCGGCTCTACTAGAGCCTTGAGGCAATATTACTTAATTTAAGTAAATATTTTGTTAAATTAACCTTAAAAATTTACTTTAAAGTAAAACTTTTTTTAAAGTTATTTAATAAGTTTTATTTATGTCATTTTTACCTATTTTAATAACCCTTAAGTTTCAACACTTTAAAGTATTATGAGGGACACTTTAAAGTATTATGAGGGACGTAATTTTTACGAAAGAAAATTACTTTTAAGTGTATTTCACCTAAAGGAAAATTTAACGGTAATTTTAACGTCAGAATTTTTACTTAATGGTAAATGTTACTCGTAAGTTATAATTTTACGATATTAAGACCACTTTATAACCGTAAATAATTCCTATTCGCCTGGTAATTTTTAGGGTTATTAGTGGTAATAAATACTATTAATATTGACTAAACAAGAAAAAATATAACTTTAAGGGGTTTTTTTCAAATTTTACTCTGAAGTGACCTTTATTACTTTGTAAGTATCATTTTGTGAAATATAAATTAAAAGAACAAAGAAATTACGAATGTCAATGTTTTAGAAAGAGAGAGCAAACAGTTAGTAATTATAGCGTTATTTTTACGTAAATTTGTGGTATTTATATTGTTTTTATTACGTTATTCTCTTGGTATTATGTAGGTAAAATAACAAAATAAACCTTCCCAAAATTTGGAAATTTTTCGTATCTATACAGTTATAAAATGAATATTATTCATTACATTATTCTCTCAACCAACGAAAATGAAAAAATACCAAAAATTCCAAATACCAATAGGTGAACAATCATATTTATATTCTTAGACATTTTTATGGTTTTTGGGGTCACCCAAATTGTTTGATAAGGATTTCGATTGGCATTTCATTTTCCATATCGATATACCTACAAAAACTTTTGCTTATGGTGTCTAATTTTCTTTAGTGGCGTTGTTATAAATTGGAGGGAAGGTGGTTCCCCACTAAAGCAATCAGCTACCGAACGCCGAAGAATGAAGAGAACTGTCAAGTAGTTTAGCTGTCGCTGTTCATGTAGAGTGTTGTCTGTACAAAGTTGTCTTTAACGCGACCGAAGATGATTATTTAGTGCGAATTGTTGTTGTTTTGTTTGTACTTTTTATTTTATTTGTTTTTGATTGACTGTTGTTGTGTTGTTTTAGTTTTGTACATAGTTTAAGGGTGAGTTTATTTTTATAAAAATAATATTATAATGTTAAAAATAAATAATGGTTTTATTATACGATATTATTATTATTTAGGTTTAAAAAGAATAAAATTAGGCCAACAGTAAAGGCGTTTTAATAAATAATTTAAATTATTATACAATGCATAATAAATTTAAAAAGTATAATATGGTAATTTTTGCATTTTATACCTAGTTGTTATACTTTTAATGGTATAAATTAAACCGATAAATCCTATAAATTATTTAAATTTAAATGGACTGTAAATAAACCAAATATTTAACTATTTAGATAGTAACATTACTTATAAGGTATAAAGTAGATTATTTTAGTAGGTACATAACGTTATATAACTTATAATTTCAAACTTTGAAAATGTTTATTTTTTTAGACATATTTTGGTTCAGTTTAACTTTTGATATTATTTTTGGTAAATTAACCACAACTTTGGTTAATTTTGATATATTTTTTTAACCAACAAGTTATATTTTACCAAATATATTTTACGAGTTGTGTTCAGAAAATATCGGGAATTTTCGTTTTTTGAAACAAATATTTATTTATTCGTCTACATTGATGTTGTCGCCTTCAAAATAGTCCCCATTGGATATTATGCACATGTGCCAGCTCTTCTTCCAATACTCGAAACACTTCTAAAACTCGATCTTTGGGATAGCCTTTAGTTCTTTCAGCGATGCGCTTTTAATGTCATCTATGCTTGCAAAACGACGGCCCTTTAAGGTTCTGTTTATTTTTGGGAATAGGAAAAAGTCAGACAGAGGCATGTCTGGCGAATATGGAGGCTGGGGCATCATTACGGTATTGGTTTTGGCCAAAAATTTTGTTCAAAATTTAACAATTTTAGAACAAATTTTGCTGCCATGCGTTTCATACCCAAAACATTCGAAAAAATTTCATTGGATGAGCCAATCGATATACCAACATCATCAGCGACTTCTCTGATGGTTTATAACCATTTCTTCCATTTTTTCCATGTTTTTATCGGTTAATGTGTTTGTGCGTTTAGGGCGTTCGTCATCTTCAACGTCTTCACGGCCATCTTGGAAACTCTTATACCACTTGTAAACTCTTGTTTTACTAATAGCAGACTCACTATAGCCCTTTGTTAACATATCACAGAATTTATTTAATTTTTTAAGCAAAATTGGATACAAATTCTTAGATCCATTTCTTTTAACGAACGAAAAATCGCCGAGCTCATAAAACACGTCTAACCTTAGCGGCTGCCACAGACAAAGTAAACAATGAAAACAGGTAAAGTTTTTATCATACTTCGGGGGCATGTATAGCAACATAATAAAGAAAATTTTACGACAACCGGACCCTCCGAACCCGCGAAATTTAACAATTCCCGTTATTTTCTGAACACACCTCGTATATGAGTATTAATATAAACATAAATTTAACGTTAATAATTAACAATTATTGTGGTTTTCAAATAATTAAAAAAAACAGAAAACCTTTCAAAACCAATAATCCTTGGTGGAATAATTAAATCAGCGCCCCTTAAAATTTTTGTCAACCAGTGTATTTATTTAAAAAAAAAGTCAATAAATTGGTTAATTAACCTTTTTAATTAACATTTATAAATGCCAAAATACCAATTATTTAAATAAATAAATAATGATGATAATGATTTTCGTATAACTATTAGTGTTGTCACTGAAAAAAAACACTCTTGTTTTTTTTCAAAAAAAAAATGTTTTTTTTTTGAAAAAAAACAGAGGTCCTTGTTTTTTTTTCAAAAAAAATGTTTTTTTTTCAAAGAAATGGTCAAAAATACTCAAATTATATTAAGTGACAGGATTTTCGAAAGGTCACTGCTGAGGAAAGAATTTTTGGCACATTCTGTCACTAGAAGATTATTAAATACTAATTATAGTTTCTTACTTACCATTAGTAATATTCTTAAACAAATTGTTTAACGTTGTTGGCTTTCGCCCTGAGCCTTTTCTTTTCGGCATTTCTACCAACTATGCATCAACCTATAAAGCCGCAGGTCTTAACTCTTCTATTATAATACCGTATAGACTATACGATATGCCAAGTCAGCATTGCCGACAGCGAGGCGCCCTTTTACCATACGTGGGTGAGAATGAAAAAAAACAACTTTTGTTTTTTTTCAGTGAAAAAAAACATGTTTTTTTTCACGTGTTTTTTTTCAACTGAAAAAAAACGTTTTTTTTACAACACTAATAACTATACCTACGTAGCTGTAAAAATAATAAATTTGGTGGTAATAACCAGTGGTTAATAACCACACAATCTTTAATCAATAAAATTTAACATTATTGTTGTTTTTGGACTCAACATCAATTTAAATAGGTATCCTAAAAAAATTATGTACTGCATTATTTTCAGAAAATAAGACGAAATTAACATTAAATTGAGAAACATAACCTTAATTATTCGACTGCATTCCTTATTTAAATGTCAGTGGGATTTTTTATGTGAACATGGTACATATTTTAATGTTTTAACAAATTTTATAATTATATAATATAAACATTTAGTTATTAACGAATATACTGAGTTTTATTAAAAATATAAGATAAATTAAATGGTAAATAATCATATTCGTAAATTGTTTTAAGCGGAAACTACTGTAACATTATTTTTTAAGGAATGTCTAATTTAATTGATTAAGTGAAATTAATTAATATAATATTTATTTAACATAAAATAATATTGGAGTTAACGTTTTGAAACTAATGAATACGTATTGTAAAAATTTTGTTTGGATTTTTTAAAATTCATTCTGAACAAATTACGTACATGATACTACAAAATTATGCAGTATCATGGTCCATACCCTGGTCCATACTGAAAAAGGCTGTTTTAAAACTTGAAATCTAAATTTTTTCTAAGGTAATTAAGGCTCAAAGAAAATATAAATGCAATTAATGAAAGTTTTATAAAAAAAACAAAACATCGCGTTGACCATTTTCAACTTGCAACCATGGTTATAGAATTTAAATTTTAATACATCGTCTTAGGCAACAAAAAACAAAATACCTATACATTTTCTATTGTTCTTATCAATTGAAATAAAATAGTTTACGTGAGACAAATAAGAAATACAAGTAGGTTAAATACTACTTTGAATAATGTTAGTTGCAATTCTGTGATGCAAGACAATAATTTAATTTCCATATATGTTTTTTCTAATCCGATATCAGTTTAATAAAAAATTATCTTGTAGATATCTTGTGTTTATAGGAAAAGAAAACTATTATGAGAATGCTTCAAGGTTAATTTTTAATTCGTTTTTAAATATTTGCAATTTTTAACATTTTTTAAAAAATTGAAAATTCAGAAAATACAATTTGATTAAAAATGTTTGTAAATTTTAATAAATTTTGAAAATTTTTAAAAATATTGAAAGTGTGAAATCTTATAATTTAAATTAAAAAAATTGATAATTCTGAAAACATTTTGGAAATTTAAGCCAATTTTGAATAAAAATTTTGAAAAATCGAAAATTTTCATAATTTGAAAAATTTATTAAAGCTATTTAAATTTTGAAAAAGTTTTAAAAAATTTTACTAAAATTTCACCAAATTTGGTGGTTCTTAAGCGACAATTTGTATAGGTATAGTTTAATTAATCAGGACATTTAATTAATCATCTATTAATTTGTTACACGGAAGTCTATTAGGCACCTATCTACAATTAATTGTATCCGTTCCAAAAATCAATTTGTTAGGTACCTACAAAAATACTTAATTATTATAAAATTATAATAAATTATAAATTATTATAAAATAGGACAGTTAATTATTATAAAATAGGACAGTTAATTATGTCATTAGACCAAGAAGTATCTCTTTGTGCTTTTTGAGTTTTAATTGAGCAAAGCACAATTTTATATGTTAAACAATGCATAAAACGTACAATTATTACAAGTATAAAGTAAGGTTAGATAGATCTGACGTTGATTTTTATTCCTACTTGGTAAAATAGTATATTATAATCGCTGTGTCTAGTCTCACGCTAGCGTGAACGCAATTTTATTCTTATTCTCACGCTAAAGTCAAAATAATTTTAATTTTATTCTTACGCATTAAATAATTAATTTTACTTTTTAGGTGTCGTGTCATTTGATTTGATTATTATTTGATTATGTCATTTGATTTGATTATGCAAATGTAATAAAATTTACTAATAATAAAATCGAGACTCTTTTACTGCAGCCAAACCAACCCAAACTCAACAACACAACCCAACCGACCCCGCCCCATTGGGCCCCCCGCCCCATTGAGCAACTAAAATGGGCAAATTTATGTTACGATAAAAATAAAACACTTTAACAAAGGAACAACAAATTTATGAAATAAAAAAAGTTCGACAACTTCTGGTAGATTTTATGTTACGATAAAACTAAAACAAATTAACCAACCCAACCCAACCGAACACTGTTTAACAAAGAAACAACAAATTTATGAAATAAAAAAATAAAAAAAGTTCTTGGAATCGAACCCGGGACCTCTCGCATGCCAAGCGCCCGCCCTACCATCAGAGCCATCTAGCTTGTTGTCAAATATTAAACGCTCTGGGAACAAAAACGGATTATAATTAGTGACGTCACCGCGTGAGAATAAGAATAAAATTGCGTTCACGCTAGCGTGAGACTAGACACAGTGTATTATAATATTATATATACCTAACCAGGTAGTATGTAAATTTAATTTCTTCTTTAATTTCCACACTTTTGTGTAATAGTTACAAACTGGTATATTAACTAAGGTCTAATTAAATATGTAACCACATTAGTAATTGCTGTTACAGGATTTTAATTAAAAAAAATAGGTGAAAACTGCTTATAAATATACATACATGCAATTTTTATACAAACACACATTTCACCATCACAATTCTTTACGTTAAGCAAATACCTACTTCGATGATTGAATTTAAAACTAAACTTATTTCTTAAACTCGATGCAATGATTTCAAATTGTTCTATTAAGGATA